TTGTCTCGGATTCTCCAGCATCTGCAGTTCCTACTATCTCCCATTGTCTGTCCTGCTGTTTTTGTCTCTCTCTTTGGGCCCTATCCTATCGTTTACTCCTTACCCCACCCACCTCCCTATTTTCTGCATGTAAACTGACGTTTTCCCAGCCACCATCAGTTCTGAGGAAGGGTCACCGGACCCGAAACGTTAACTCTGTTTTCTCCTTCACAGATGCTGCCAGACGTGCTGAGCTTTTCCAGCAACTTTGTTTTTGTTCCAGGAGGGAGCTTCCTCATCTCCAACTGAGTGCATTCTCACTCTGCTCCCCTACATGGACATTTACAGAGGACATTTTACACTCTGTCAGCCTGAACGATAGAATGGTGTCAGAGCAGAGCAGGATTCCATTTAATTAAAACAGAAATTGCTGGTGACCACAAGATGTAGGAGCAGAATTAGGCCATTCAGCCCATTGAGTCTGCTCCGCCATGCGACCGTGGCTGATATGTTTCTCAAACCCTTCTTCTGCTATCTCTCTTGATTCCCTTACTAATCAAGAGCCTATCCATGTCTGACTTTAATACACTCGATAAATTCACCTCCACAGCCTTCTGCAGCAACAAGATCCTCAGATTCATCACCACCACCATTGACTGATGAAATTCCTCCTCATTTCCGTGATAAAGGGCCATCCCTTCATTCTGAGGCTGTGCCTCGGGTCCGAGTCTCTCCGATTATCTTCTCTACTGTACCCAGGCGCCTCTCTATTCTTTAAATTTCAATGAAATCCCCCCCACCCCGTCTTTCCAAACTCCATAAAACACAGACCCAAGTCCTTAACTGTTCTTCATGTGACAAGCCTTTTTACCCTGGGATCATTCCTTTAAATTTCCTCTGGACTCCCTGCAATGCTAATCTATGATTTTTAGGTATGGGGCCCAAAACTACTGTCAATATTCCAAATGCAGTCTGACCAGACCCTTCTATAACCTCTGCAGTACTTGATTTCATTTGTTTTATTATTGTCACAGTGAAGTACACATCTACGCACAGTGAAAAGTTTTGTTTTGCATGCAGTACATAACACACAAAGATCATAGGGTGATTAAACAGAGTGAGGAATTCAAAACTATGGCTGCAAAGAAGGTGCACGAAAGCAAGATCAACATTAGATTTGAAATGAGAGGTCTACTCAGAAGCCTAATAACGGTGGGGAAGAAGCTGTTCTTGGACCTGTTGTATATGTGTTTAAGCTTTTATATCTTCTGCCTGATGGAAGAGATTTTAACCGGGGTGGGAGAGACCTTTGATGATCTTGGCTGCCTTTCTGCAGCATTAAGAAGTGTAGATGGAATCAATGGATGGAAGGTTGGCTTGTGTAATGGTCTGGGCTATGATCACATCTCTGTATAGTTTCTTATGGTCCTGGGCAGAGCATTTGCCATACCAAGCCATGATGCATCCAGACAGGATGTTCTCTGTGGTGCATCTGTAAAAGTTGGTGAGGGTCCTAATGGACATGCCGAATTTCCTCAGCCTCCTGAGGAAGAAGAGGCATTGTTGTGCTGCCTTGACCATCGCGTCAACTTGGTGGTCCAAGACAGATTGTTGGTAATGATCACTCATAGGAACTTGACACCCTCGACCATCTCCACCTCAGCACTATGGATGCTCTGCTCTTGTATTCTAACCCTCTTGAAATGACTGCTGCCATTGCATTTGCCTTCCCAACTGCAAACTGAACCTACACATTAACCTTAAGAGAATCTTGAACTAGGACTCCCAAGTCTCCTTGTGCTTCAGATTTCCTTTCCCCTTTCAGAAAATAGTTCAAACCTCTATTCTTCCAGTGAAAATGCAGAACCTCAGACTTTCTCACATTGTATTCCATCTGCCACTTCTTTGCCCACTCTCCCAATCTGTCCAAGTCCTTCTGCAGCCTCCCCACTTCCTCAACACTACCTGTCCTTCCACCTATCTTTGTGTCATCTGCAAACTTAGCTACAATGCCCTCAGTTCCTTTGGATCGTTAATGTATAAGGTGAATAATTGTGGTTCCCAACACTGGCCCCTGTGGAACTCCACAAGTAATCAGCTGTCATCCTGAAAAGAACTCCTTCATCCCCACTCTCTGCTTTCTACCAGTCAGCCAATCCTCCATCCATGCCAATACATTGCTGGTAACGCCATGGGCTCTTCTGAGGAAGGGTCATTGGACCCAAAACATTAACTCTGATTTCTCTTCACAGAAGCTGCTAGTCCCACTGAGCTTTTCCAGCAATTTCTGTTTTTGTCATTGAGTATAAGAGTTCAGACTCATATTGAGGTTGGTGAGGCCTCTTCTGGAATACTACATCCAGTTCTGGTCGTCCTGTTATAGAAAGGATATTAGCAAGCTGAGAGGGTTCAGAATTGATTTACCAGCATGTTGCCAGGAATGGAAGTTCTGAGTTACAAGAAGAGGCAGCATAGCCTGGGACTTTTTTCACTGCAGTATAGGATGTTGAGGGGTGAACTTATAGAGATCTTTAAAATCATGGGGGGTATAGATAAGGTGAATGGCAGGTGTCTTTTCCTGGGGGGGGGGGGGGGGGGGAATTTCAAGACTGGGGGCATATTTTTAAGGTAAGAGGAAGAAGATTTAAAAAGGATGAGGGGCAAGTTTTTACACACAGAGTGGTTCATGTGTGGAATGAACTCCAGAGGAAGTGGTGGATGTGGGTACAGTTACAACGTTTAAAAGACATTTGGATAAGGACATGAATAGGAAATGTTTGGAGGGATTTGGGCCAAGTGCAGGTAGGTGGGACTAGTTTAGTTTGGGATTCAGGTCAGCATGGACTGAAGGGTCTGTTTCCGTGCTGTATGATTCAGAGGAGTTTAGAAGAATCAATGAGGTTCTCAAAGAAATCTAAAAGTACTAACAGGACCTGGACAGGACAAGCACAGGAAGGATGTTCACAATGACTGGGGAGTCCAACCAGGGGTCACAGTTTACGCATTCAGAGTAGGCCTGAGATGAAGAGAAATTACTTCACTCAGAGAGGGTGAACCTGAGGAATTCTCTGCCAGAGCAAGTGGTTGAGGTCAAAACATGGAATGTTTTCAAGGAGGAGTTGGGTATAGTTCTTAGTTTTTAAAGGGATCAAAGGGTATGGGGTGGAAGCAGGAACAGTGTATTGAGTTGAATGATCAGTCATGATCATATTGAACAGAGGACTAAACTCAAAGGGCCGAATTGCCTACCCCATTCTTATTTTTTTTTGTCTCAACTCTGATAAAAGGTGGTATCAAGGAGCTCTAGCAAAACTGGAGCCAATGAGAATTATGGAAAAAATAAACTCCACTGTACAAGTCATTGGAAGGAATGTTATTAAACTGGAAAGAGTGCGAAAAGGATTTACAAGGATGTTACCAAGACTGGAGGGTTTGACTTATAAGGAGAGGCTCAACTTTTTCCCCTGGAGTGTAAGAGGCTGAGGGCTCACCTTAGAGGTTTATAAAATCCTGAGGGGCATAGCCAATGTCTTTTCCGTAGGGTAGAGGAGTCCAAACCTAGACACCATAGGTTTAAGGTGAGAGGGCAAAGATGAGTCCACCTCGTTGAATGTTTTTAAGGCAAAGATAGGTAGAACAGTGAAGGAATTAAGGTTATGGTGAGTGACAGGATAGGTGGAATTGAGTCCATGAAAATATTAGCCACGATCGGGGCAGCACGGTGGCACAGTGGTTAGTACTGTTGCCTGAGAGCGCCAGAGAACCAGGTTCAATTCCACCCTCGGGCAAGTGTCTGCGTGGATTTCCTCCGGGTGCTCCGGTTTTCTCCCACAGTCCAAAGATGTGCGGGCTAGGTGGATTGGCTATGCTAAATTTCCCGTATTTGTTCACGGATGTGTAAATTAGGTGGGTTATAGGGGGATGGGTGCTCTGAGGGTCCGTGTGGACTTGTTGAGCCGAAGGGCCTGTTTCCACACCATAGGGATTCTATGATCTCATTGAATGGCGGAGCAGGCTCACGGGGCTTACTCCTGCTCCTATTCGTACTTTCTCATGTCTCACAAAGTAGTTAATCAAAGGGGAAGCAATGTCCTAATGGTATTATTGCTAGGCTATTAATCCAGAGACCCAGGTAATGTTCTGGAGACGTGGTTTCAAATCCTACCATGGCAGATGGTGGAATTTGAATTCAATAAAAAAAATCTGCAAGTGTATACTGCTGACCACGAAACCGTTACCAACTGTCAGAAAACATTAATGTTCGCTCATATCCTTTCGGCAAAGAAATCAGCCATCCTTACCTGGTCTGGCCTATGTGACTCCAGACCCACAGCAATGTGGTTGACTATTAACTGGCCTCTGGACAATTAGGGGTGAGCCATACAGTCATACAGCACGGAAACAGACCCTTTGGTTCAACTTGTCCACGCTGACCAGATATCCTAAATTAATTGAATCCCATTTCCCAACATTTAGCCCATATCCCTCTAAACCCTTCCTATTCATGTACCCATCCAGATGCCTTTTAAATGCTGTAATTGTACTAGCCTCCACCATTTCCTCTGGCAGCTCATTCCATACACACACCACCCTCTGTGTGAAAAAGTTGCCCCATAGGTCCCTTTTAAATCTTGCCACTCTCACCTTAAACCTACATCCTCCAGTTTTGGACTGCTCTACTCTGGAAAAATGCCCTTGCTATTCACCCCATCCATGCACCTTATGATTTTATAAATCTGTATAAGGTCAGCTCTCTGTCTAGGACACTCCAGGGAAAATTGGCCCAGCCGATTCAGTCTCTCCTCATAGCTCAAACCCTCCAACCTGGCAACATCCTTGTAAATCTTTTATGAACCCTTTCAAGTTTAGCACCATCTTTCCTATAGCAGGGAGACCAGAATTGAATGCAATACTCTAAAAGTGGCCTCACCAATGTCCTGTACAGCCTCAACATGAGCTCCCAACTCCTACACTCAATGTACTGATCAATAAAGGCCAGTGTACCAAATGCCTTCTTCACTACCCTGCCCACCTGCAACTCCTCTTTCAAGGAACTATGTTCAGCAACACTCCCCAGGACCTTACCATTAAGTGTATAAGCTCTGCCCTGATTTGCCTCACCAGAGTACAACACAACACATTTATATAAATTAAACTCCATCTGCCATTCCTCAGCCTATCTGATAAGGTGCCATTGTACTGAGAGATAACTTTAACTCTCCACTACACCACCAATTTTGGTGTGAAATGGAAATTTACTAAACATTCCTCCTATATTCACATCTATGTGCTGATGTCAGTTGATCCCAAGCATCTTCCCAATCACGTTGGTCCATGCAAAATTTAAAATAAACATGACTGAAGTTAAACAATCAGGGAAAACGCCAAACCACACCGTTCATTTCATCTTTAATGATGAAATTTTAACTCCTTCATCCATCACAAGACTATCACATTCTGCTGTTTGTATTTACTTCATCCTGTATTACACGGATTTACTGCATTAAACACTGAAACATTGAAATACTGAGGTTTCTCTGGGGATTTGATATAAATGCATCCATCCAAAGTCTGGATGGTAAAACCTGGGATTGTAGGATGGTTCTAGGAAGAGAGGAAGGTCAACAGGGTCTTCATTCTGTAGCGTTTTGAAGAATGACAAGTGATCTCCTTGAAGTTTACAAAATACTTAAAGGGATAGAGAGATTAGATGCAGGTAAGATGTTCTCCCCCGAGTTTTCTAGGACCAGGGACACAAAAATAAGGGCGATTCCATTTATAGCCGAGATGAGGAGAATGATTTTTACTCAAAGGATCGTCAGCCTTTGGAATTCTTGACCACAGAGGATTGTGGAAGCTCAGTCTTTGAGTATATTTAAGATAGAGATTGATAGCTTTCTGACTACCAGCGTGGTTATGGGGAGGGAGAGGGTAAAAGCCATTAAAGTGATCGTTCAGCCATGATCATATTGAATAGCAGGGCAGGCTCGACATGCTAAACGGCCTGCTCCCTTCCTATGCAGTAGGTTGAACACAAGGGAAAACTAATGTTTTGCCCCACATGAAGTCGAATAAATCCAATCATTTTAAGTGTCCTAGACACATTTGCAACAGATCGCAACAATTACATGATTCCTTGTCACAGGACATTCTGAGACCAGTTACTCTCTGGTCCCTCTTGCCCCTGCCCCTGCCCCTCACTATGGACCATCAAAACTACAGGTCAGCATGGTGGCTCAGTGATTAGAACTGTTGCCTCACAGCACCAGGGACCTGGGTTCGATTCCAGCCTTGGGCGACTTGTGTTCTCCCCTGCGTCTGCGTGGGTTTCTTCCGGGTGCTCCGGTTTCATCTCCCAGTCCAAAAATATGCAGGTTAAGGCTGGCCATGCTAAATTGCCCCATAGTGTCCAAGGATGTGCAGTCTAGGTAGGTTAGCCACAGGAAATGCAGGATTACAGGGATAGAGTAGGGGGAGGTGGGTCTGAGTTGGATGCTGTTCGGAGGGCCAAAAGGCCTCTTTATGCACTGTAGGGATTCTATGATTCTTTTAAAGCCCACCTGGTGGTGAGAACTATTGACAAAGGTCCCTCACTGCTATACCTGCCACACGGAACTGAGTGAATCGTCTACCACGCTTGGAACCAAGTCTGTGGTGTGTTCGCAGGATGGGTGAACCTTCGAATCTCTTCTCGCGCATGGAGCTGGTGACCAACTATTCCCCGTTGTGGACCCGCTGGTGCATCCGCAAGTTGGACGACTGAGTGAATCCCTTGCCGCACGCCGAGCAGGTGTACGGCCTCTCCCCGGTGTGAACCCGCTGGTGCGTCAGCAGGCTGTACGATTTTCTAAAGCTCTTGGTGCAATGGGAGCAGCTGAACGGCCTGTCCTCAGTGTGAATGCGTTGGTGGACCGTCAGGTGCTTACAGCTTTTAAAGCCAGCTCCACAGTCTGAGCATTTGAAAGGCCTCCCTTTGGTGTGACTGCCCTGCTGCTTCAGCAGGCCAGGTGACTCACAGAATCCCTTCTCAAGCACGGAGCAAGAGAACGGCTTCTCCCCAGCATGGACCCGCTGGTGCCTCAGCAGGTTGGACGACTGAGTGAAACCCTTCCCGCACACAGTGCAACCGAATGGCTTCTCTCTGGTGTGAACACGTTGGTGTGTCAAGAGGTTGGACGTACAAGTGAATTCCTTCCTGCATTGAGAGCAGGTGAATGGCCTCTCCCCAGTGTGCACTCGCTGGTGTCTTTGCAGAGTGGACAACTCACCGAAACCCTTCCCACACACAGAGCAGGTGAACGGCCTCTCCCCGGTGTGACTGCGACGATGAATTTCCAGCTTGGACGGGTAACTGAATCTCTTTCCACACTCTCCACATGTCCAAAGTTTCTCCCCAATCTCAATGCACTGGTGACTTTCCCACTGGGACTGGGAATTAAATCCCTTCCTACATGCCTCGCAATTCCATGGTTTCTCCATGGTGCTGGTGTTCTTGTGTCTATTCAGGTTTGTTAATCACTTGAATCCTTGTTCACACAGTCTGTCCCCTGCTGTGAATGGTGTGATTATTTCTTTCAGTCTGTGTAACAGTTAAAGCTCTTTCCACTGTCAGTTCTCATTCAGGCTGTGTGACAGACTTGGTTCTTTTCCAGTCCCATTTGTATTTGAAACTGTTTCCGCTCACAAAAATTCACTCAAACATTTCTCCTTCCGCATTCAAAAGCTGCAGATATTCAGACCCTAATGTTTGGTTTGAGTTTCCCAGCTGCAAGTGTTCCTCTCCCTGTAAGTAAAGAATAGAAATTCACATGCGATAAAATAAAAGTTTCTTTCCAAAATTTACCTATAACTCCCCACAACCCTCCCAAATTTAAGATACTGTCCTAGCCAACTGACTGAGCCCCCACACCTACTCCTCGTCTTTGCAGTGCTGTCTTGCAGTTTCCTCAAGACTTCACCACATTCTGACAACCCTGCCCTACCCTCCATTGGGCATTTGATCTTCCCCCTTTTGGGGAAGCTTGCCCTCCCCTCAGCCAATTTCAGAGATGTCTGCAGCCACGCCCGTCCTTACCAGCCTGGCCTTTTACCATCTGACAGTGTTTAGGAGACTGCCCATCCGCTAGAAGCATAGGTGAAAAGTGCAGACACTGGATTTGAAGATCGCAACCTGTTTGGCTGTGGCAGCTCCACGTCCAGCACACCCTGGGTGAAATAACTCCACGAAGGCTGATATCCCGTCACCACCCATTATTTACACATGGAGAATTCTTGTCACTAATCCAACTCTGAGTGAATAGAACCCCTGACACTCCTGTTTACATCTGTCAGCCAGGGCTCCCTGATTGACCAGATTAATAGCACCAATGAATCATAGATTCATACAGCATGGAAACAGACCATTCAGTCCCAACCAGTCCATTCCAAACATAGTCCCAAACTAAACTAGTCCCACCTGCCTGCTCCTGGTCCGTATCTCTCCAAACCTTTCCTATTCATGTACTTACCCAAATGTCTTTAAACATTGTAATGTACTCACATCCACCACTTCCTCAGGATGTTCATTCCACACACAAACCACCCTCTTTGTTTAAAGTTTACCCCTCATGTCTTTTTTTAAATCTCTCTCCTCTCACCTTAAAAATGTGCCCCCTAGTCTTGAAATCCCCTATCCTCGGGAAAAAAAACTACCATTAACCGTATCTATAACCCTCGTTATTTTATTAACTTCTATTCGGTCACCTCTCAACCTCCTACACTCCAGTGAAAAAAGTCCCAGCCTATTCAGTCTCTCCTTATAACTCAACCCTCCAATACTGGACAACATCCTGGTATATCTCTTCTGAACGCTCTGCAGCTTAATAACATCCTTCCTCTAACTGGGTGATAAGAACTGGACACAATACTCCAGAAGAGGCCTCACCAATGTCCTGTACAACCTCCGCATTACTTCCCGACTCCTCCACTGAAAGATCTGAGCAACATCGGCAAGCGTGCCAAATGTCTTTTTAACCACCCTGTCTATATGTGACACAAACTTCAAAGAGTGACGTACCTGCTCCCCTAGGTCCCACCTCACTTGGCTGGCCTTGTTACAAAGACAACACTGGGGAGAGATTTGAACATAGACCCTCTGGCACAGAGTGGGGAACACTACCCCTCCGTCCCAAGACCAACCCCCTTTTTCATATCAATGATGTACCCACCATTGAGCATTTGTTTTCACTTGTGACTTGCAGAGGTCAAAATGTTTGGCTTTTGAATCACCCTCCACAAATTCTGGGGAGGGTAGATAAAAGGTTTATCAGTTTTAACTCGAAAAAAAATCTAGTTTTTGGTCAGTACTTTTTCCCCCGAGACAAAAACACTGTAAAATCAGCCCAGCTTCCAAAGTAAGTGAGAGCTGCTCCCAGACAAAGGCTATCTCATGACAACCTGAAGCTCCGCCCTTCCCACCCTCCAAAACCCGCCAGCACTAGGCACCGCCCCTTCATGCGAGAGAATGCTCTCTGATTGGTTGGAGGACCAGTTGGACCTCCAGGCCGAACCGCCGTTCCCATTGGCCCAGGGGTACGTCACTCATGCGCGTGTGGTTTGCGCCTCTTCCGGTTTAGCCGATACACCGTGTGGAGGAGGAAGAGGGATAGAGCTGAAGGGAAGAACCAAAGGCCGAGCAGCAGCAGCAGGGTCAGCGGATATCTCAGGGGCACGTGGAAAGAGAAGCGTTCTTTCAACCTAAACGATTAACGTGACTTTTTCTTATAACTGAAGCTGCTGCGTTACCATGGGAACCGGCCGCCACCTTGCGGGCTGCAGGGACCGACGGTCAGTGCGCGTGCGTCCCCAACGTAATGACGTAGGAGCGGTGGGAGACCATTCGGCCCATCGAGACTACTCTGCCATTTACTGGGATCATGGACGAACCGATCACAAGACCGTAAAATATCAGAGCACAATTAGGCCGTAGGCCCATCAAGTCTGCTCCGCCATTCAATCATGGCTCATATTATCTCAACAATTTAGATGAGAATATAGAGGGCATGGTTAGCAAGTTTGCAGTTGACACCAAAATTGGCATTGTAGACAGTGAAGAAGGTTTTCTAACATTACAAAGGGATCTTGATCAAATGGGTCAATGGGCTGAGAAACGGCAGATGGAGTTCAATCTGGATAAATGTGAGGTATTGAATTTTGGTACAAAAAAGGTAGGGTTTATACAATTAATCGTAGGGCCTCGTGCTGTGTTGTAGAACATAGGGACGTTGGGTTGCAGGTACATAATTCTTTTGAAGTTTGCGTTGCATATGGACAAGATGGTTAAAAAATGTCTGGTATGCTTTCCTTCATTGCTCATCCCTTTGAGTATAGGAGTTGGGAAGTCACGCTGAGGTTGTACAGGATATTGGTGAGGTCTCTTCTGGAATACTGTGTCCACTTCTGGGCACCCAGTTATTGGAAGGATAGTATCAAGCTGGAGAGAGTTCAAAAGAGATTTACCAGGATGTTAGATAACAAGGTGTAGAGCTGGATGTACACAGCAGGCCAAGCAGCATCGGAGAAGCGGGAAGGCTGACGTTTCTGGCCTAGACCCTTCTTCAGAAATGGGGGAGGGGAAGGGGGTTCTGAAATAAATAGGGAGAGAGGGGGAGGCGGATAGAGGAGAAGACAAGTGGAGAGAAGACAGACAGGTCAAAGAGGCGGGGATGGAGCCATTAAACGTGAGTGTAGGTGGGGAGGTAGGGAGGAGATAGGTCAGTCCAGGGATGACGGACAGGTCAAGGGGGCAGGAGGAGGTTAGTAAGTAGGAGATGGGGGTGGGGCTTGGGGTGG